TAACAACTCATAATGAGATAAATTGATTCACTTTTTAAATACAAATAGTTTTATATATTTATGGTATAGCAAAGAATAGCAAAAATGTGTACCGTTCCTTGAAATTTCGTTTCTCATTGATTTGCCCGCTTTTTTGATATCAGCTGTTCATAATTCCCTGACCTCCATCGCAACCAATTAAGAAAACTGAGAGAGTTTCGTATTCGTCATTGTCTATTGTCATCCSTTTAGAGAATAAACTTAAAGCAGTTGAATATTGATGACTTTAAACCTTTTTGGTTTGTGTTATTTCGCTATATTAATTCTGCATGTGTTCTGGTACTCGGCTTTTTGATCTAAATAAATAAATAATTTGCCCCTAATCAGGGGCAAGGTACCCTATAAAGCTTATGTCGCCATATTTGTTGGCTTCGCGACAAAGGCTGTCCAGTCGTTTCTGACTTATCCACAGATGCATTTTTGGCATCACTCAAACGAATGATTGGAAGAGAGGTCTCCCATCAGATGTTTATTCTGATAATGCAACWAATTTCGTCGGAGCTTGCAGCAAACTTTCAACTGCAGTTTTACCTGATTGAAAGCCCTTTCAATGGGGCCGGGATGTCGGCTCAACTAACGTTACACCCTATTTGTTATTAAGTTATTTTAAGTTTAGCTACTCATAAATAAGAGCATAGACTCACTTGTACTTAAAAACTAAGGTATTATAAATTGTACGTGCATAATGCTCCTACATAACTCATTTGTATATACACACGTATGCATATCTAGATATGTTCGCAACAACACAATAGCGAGAGCTTTTGCAGTTCCTTTTGTGTGACTCTTTCGCATGTGCAAGGATATGTACATCTATCCAAAATATTAGCATAAGCCTAATTATTGTACCTAATTACATTTCATTTACATTAAATAAAATACTCTATGGCTGACCACCAAGGTGACAAGTTTTCTATTTTCTACCTCCTTTTCCAAGTTAATTACACAGCCCAATTTCTCGTTTAAATTATTGTTGTTTCATTGAACTAACTGTTCCTGATCCTACATTGTTAAATTTGGTTAATATGGAAGACTTGTCTTAATTGTCCTTGACGTGCGCAAGTTTTGAAGATCTAACATCGACTCGGACCACTATCTTGTTGTACAAATATACGCGCTCGCTTCGATTACTTTCTATTCGACTTGGCCTCCTGCGCTCTGAGAGCACTCATCAGCAACTAAGTTCAAAGAAACTATGGGACGGCATTTCAAGCTTTTACGTACAGCTGCATGCGAAACAATTTGTTTTCTTTAAGTTTGAGAGAATATCTGGTACGTTGAAGACTGCCGTGTCTCAGTGCCGAGAAAGTAAACAGCCTACCTAAAAATGTTGCGATTGAACACAACACATGCGTGGTAGGAAGCAAACAACATCGCACACCACGTGTTCCTCGATTTTAAAGCCGCCTTCGACAGCACGAGAAGGAACTAACTTTATGCCGCTATGCCTGAACGTTGAGCAACGCGCTCTAAAATTATATAATAAGTTCATAACAAACTTTAACGGCTTTGTAGTAGGCGAAGAGTCCAACGAAAAAGTGCACTTTAAACAAACAGTTTTGCACAGCAAACGAAATGGCAAATGTTGGCGGCAAACTGCCAAAAACTGTCTTGTTTGGCACGCATTTGCCAGTGTGGTTATGAAATCGAAACGTTTATGGGCGTTTGAAGTGTAAATCAAGAAATTTATGTTGTTGAGCTTTTACAGAAGCGTCTCTTTAATTGAGCATAATAAGAACCGAGTACACTTTAAGTTTAAAAATAAATGACGGAACGTAACCAAGTAAACCTGAAAACTGCTAACCTGTAAAACCGAAACTGCGATTATTCACACACAGCAAAGCAATATGACTGTGTTTTTTTAAATTCGCATATATATGAGCACCTTTATGTAAACCATAACTAATGTGTATAAATTGTTTTGAATCTGAATAATAAATATAAGTTTTATGACGTAATTGTCATTTAAGTCTTACACATACTTTGTTATCACCTTTCTTAATAGAATAATAAACTGGTGCTAAAAGTGAACAAAATCGATTCAGCGTTTCAAAACAGCCCATTTAACTAATATAATGTTTTTTATTCCACCACAGCTCACTTTATTTCATACAAAATATTGTGCAAAACGTTAGATATTTTCTCTTCGCAATTCTGACTTTTAAAAACTTCAAACTATATTTAGTACTTTCATAACATACAAACTATAACAATTTGTAGTATAAGATTATCTGAAATCTGTTTTAAAAGCATATTGTTTATATTCAGAAGTTAACTCTGAATAATAACAAATTGTGCGATGAGTCAAATGATCGTTAGACTTCACCAAATATTTACATTTCTTAATATATAAAGTATATACTTTAAGAACCAGTGTCTTTATAACCAATGGGTGTTAGATAGGACGTATTGAAAATTTTTATCCATATGGGAAAGAACCAGACGGCAAATTCACTATATCTATTAAATCACACCGTGCTCAGCGATTATGTAAAGCAAATTTACTCTCATAACTTTCAACCTTTCGACGAATAGCGAACAGGTGGCCGACTATTACGACCATAAACTATCAAAATCGCACGAAAAGTTGCCAAAACGACCCTTAGCACTCATACCATCCCTATTGGAAAATTTAAACAGCCTACTCTGAACAAAAACACGAAAAGTGATGCTGAACACGAGTATATATATCTTTTTAACCTCGCTTACTGCTCCTGTAAAACTTCAAATTGCCGAAAGAAACACAGAAAACGAGCCAACTCATGTAGATGTAATTACTTTTTAACTTTAAGATTATATTATTTATTTATGAAAACTGTTGACAAAAAAAATTTAGTAATTTTTGGGTATCGGCCCACCCTACAGATGCAAGCAAAACATATACATACAGATACACGCTTCGATTTTTAAATAGTACGCTACAAGTAAAAATAATACACGTA